GCTAAGCTTGAGGATCTCCCCTTTGAGGGAAAAGAATTGTTCAGCCAGGAGACGGATGAGATCCTGGTGCATATCAGGAAGTATAAACTTCAAGCAAAATCCTTTGGGATTATGGCTCCTGGAACCAACCAACAAAAGCCCAGGTATTGGTCTCGGCCACCGCAGCGTCTGCTCTACTCATGGCCCTTCCGTTATTCTGAGTCACTGTTTCAGAATCCGCCCTTTCATGCCCCTTATAGTCCCTCATACCACTCCACCTTTCAGAACAAGCGTTCCAAGCCAAAACCGGCACAGGTCAATAGAGGTAGGGAGGCTGGGGGTCGAGGAGCCGAGTTCCAATGACTAGTATGCTCCCTGCCTCTTGGACAGGTTGGCCCGGTTTTATGAGGCCTGGTTAGTTATTACTGATGACCCTTGGGTCGTGGCTATAATAAAGAATGGATATTACTTGGAATTCACTTCTCACCCTGTTTCTCACTGTCTTTTCTTTCCGCCGCACAATGATACGCTGGTCTTGTCACAGGTGGTGCAACTACTCCTTGATAAAGGAGCAATACAGCGAGTCCTGTCACCTACTGAATCCCCAGGATTTTATTCCCCTTTCTTTCTGATTGACAAGAAGGATGGTGGGCAAAGGCCCATCTTGGACTTCCATCACCTAATAAATTTCTCACGAGACCAAAGTTTCGTATGCTCTCCTTACAAGAGGTTATTCTGTTACTTCACCCTGGTTGTTGGTTTGCCAGCATTGACAGCCTATTTCCGTATTGACATCCACGAGGACTGTGCACATTTTCTGTGCTTTATCTATGAAGGACTAGTATGCCAATAAACTGTTCTCCCACTTGGGTTAGCTTCTGCCCCTAGAGTATTTACAAAATGCCTCTCGGTGGTAGTGACCCATCTCCGCCTCCTGGGGTGTACAATTTACCCATATTTAGATGACTGGTTACTAGTGGCAGATTCCTCGTACCAGCCACTGTCACACATTGCACTTATTCTGAATACACTTCAGTCTCTCAGCTTGTTGGTCAATGCTAATAAGTCTACCCTCCGCCCTGTACAGCAGATATTCATTGGAGCCACGCTTAATGCCATTTTAGGAAAAGCGTTCTTGCCAGAGGTCCAGGCGCAACGCATTATACGCTTTGTTTGTTTATTACTGACCTGTCGCAGATGCCCTGCCAGTTATTTGCAATGCCTTTTGGGGCACCTGGCTGCGACCACTGCAGTGCTTCCCTATGCCCGTTTACACATGAGGGTCTTACAGAATTGGTTTCTGAGACATTTTCACGCTCACATGCATAACCCGAACATCTGCTTAACGGTACCACACTCTGCATTGCATGCTCTGTCATGATGGACCAACTGGTTCCACTTGCGGGCTGGCGTGCCCTTCGGTTTCCGCCACTTTGACATACAGTTGTTCACTGACGCCTCCCTTGTAGGTTGGGGAGCCCACTGTGGTCAGGAGACGGCCAAGGGCCACTGGGGATTGGAAGAAGCAACCCTGCATATTAACGTTCTGGAACTTTGTGCAGTAAGGAGGGCCTTCTCTTCTTTTGCAGGTCTCCTGCATGGCCAGTGTCCTTCTACACATAGACAACATGACTATGCAGTATTACATCAACAAGCAGGGCGGCACTGTCTCTATGTCACTCATGACAGAAACCATTGCTTTGTGATGCCAAGTCATACAAATAGGAGCGGACCTGAAGGCTATCCACATAGTCGGTCACTTAAATACACAGGCAGATTTCCTCAGCAGGGTGTTTCACATGTCATACGATTGGTCTCTAGGAGACAGCTTTCTGCGACCCCTGTTCAGAAGGTGGGGTACGCCAGACGTAGACCCCTACAAATACAAAGTGTGCCTTGTTCTGCTCTTGGGCTGCAATAGGTGTCGG